GTTGGAGTCTCACTCCGTCGCCCAGACTGGAGTGCAGTGGCCGCTCCCAGCCACCGCAGCTTCGACCTGCTGGGCTCCGGCGATCCCTCCGCCTCAGCCTTACAAGTAGCCGGAAGTACAGGTGTGTTTAACTGCCTGGCTAATTTTTGGTTTATTGTAGAGACGAGGTCTTGCCAAGTTGCCCAAGTGGGTCTCAAACCCTTGGGCTCAGGCAATCCACTTGCCTCGGCCCCAAAACGTGCTGGGATTACAGGCTGCGCCACCGAACCCAGCCAAGACTTCATTTCTACAATAAATCAAAAAATTGGTCAGGCGTGGTGGCACGTGCTTATGGTTCCAGCTACTTGGAAGACTAAGACAGATGGATCACCTGAGCCCAGTAGGTCAAGGCTGAGGTGGGCATGAGTGTGCCACTGCACTCCAGTCTGAGTGACAGAGTAAGACTCCAAGTCAAAAAAGAAAATGTGCTTTGCAGAAGGAAAATGGACTTTCTTGGCAGTCATGTCTTCGCAGAGGAAAGTGATGGGAAAACTCAGAAATGGTTCTACATGGTTCTAAGATAAATGGTAGATGATAATTTCTTCAGCCTCAGCACTGGGCAACTCTAGGGAAAATCAACTTGAAAGATGAAACTGTGTCTGCCTGGATCATAAGTTAGGAGATTGGGAATGCCAATTTGTTCTATGTTCCAACCCCCATCTTCACTCCCATTATTTCCCTTGCTTGAAACAAGGCTCTAAGCACCAGGGGAAGAGTTTCAGCAATAGACAAAGCAGTATAGACACTAGGGTTCTGTCTGCCTGATTTTATTGGGAACAAGGGTACCAGAACTGCTATCCAAGAGAAGGGAGCCCAGGGCTCCTTCTGTAGCAACTCTTCGTCAGAGGCGAGGCAGGGCTCAGAGGGCAACAGGCCGTTTTTTCAGGCAGGGTCACACTACCACCCTCAGCAGGACCTCCCCAAAAAGCTATGCTCCTTTAGCTCAGCACTTGGCACTTAAGGAAAAGGGATCAACAAAGGCAATATTAGGAAGACAAGCCCAGACTCATCAGGATACCCACTCAGCCAGCTGCTTCAGTGCTTCATCTTCATCCGTTTTGGAAGCTTTGGGGACAAGGATACCCAGAGAAAAAGAAAGGAGAAGGGTTAAGGTCTTAGCAACTTCCAGACATCCCTAGCTGGGGCATTCAGAACGTGCTGAATGCTCTCTCCCTAGCAGAGAACCTAAAGATGTGGTTCCTGTATAGCCAGGTGCCCTTATGCAGTCAACAACCTATACAACCGCAGCAGCAGCCCTCTCTGCCTGGCTCCTTTGAGGCAGGACAGATGTGGAATAATCCTTCCCACTCTCTCTTTTTTTTTAAGAGTAGGGGTCTCGGGCAGGCGCAGTGGCTCAAGCCTATAATCCCAGCACTTCGGGAGAATGAAGCGAGAGGACTGCCTGAGCTCAGGGGTTCGAGACCAGTCTGGACAACTTGGTGAGACCTCATCTCTACAACAAATCAAAAAATAAGGCGGGCATGGTAGCGTGTGCCTGTAATTGCAGCTACTTGGAAGGTTGAGGCAGAAGGATCGTCTGAGCCCAGCAGGTCGAGGCTGCGGTGACTGTGAACATGCCACTGCACTCCAGCCTGGGCAACAGAGTGATATGCCAACTCAAAAACCCTGGGCAACAGAGTGAGTCTCCAACTCAAAAAAAAAAAAAAAAGTCCGGGCTCGGTGGCTCAGCCTGTAATCCTGTGCTTTGGGAGGCTGAGGATGAGTGGATTGCCTGAGCCTGCGGGTTCAAGACCCGCCTGAGCAACTTAGCGAGACCTCGTCTCCACAATAAATAAAAAATTAGCTGGGTGTGGTAGCGTGCGCCTGTAATTCCGGCTACTTGGAAGACTGAGGCGGAAGGATCTCTGGAGCCC